ATTAGGAAAAAGTTCCTAACTGTCAGGGTGATTAAACACTGGAATAAATTGCCTAGGGAGGTTGTGGAATCTCCATCTCTGGAGATATTTAAGAGGAGGTTAGATAAATGTCTATCAGGGATGGTCTAGACAGTATTTGGTCCTGCCATGCGGGCAGGGGACTGGACTCGATGACCTCTCGAGGTCCCTTCCAGTCCTAGAATCTATGAATCTTCTTGTGCTGATGCAGCCAAAGCTGGCATGACATCACCGTAGCTATGTAATGTGTGTTACTTCACCTCCCTGGGGTTGGGTCTTTTTATATACTGGGAGTTGTAGCTATCAGTATAGCTACATCAGTGCAAGTGCTGGTGTAGATGTACTGCACCATTGGTAGGGTTTGGACTATGCAGCTACATTGGTGTAAGGCCATTGAATTGTATCTTCTGCTAGTGATAAGAAAGTGTATTGACTTTCTTTGTCTAGCTTTTCTGCAACACAGAAGAAAGCCACTAGAATTCAGTGACTCTTTCCCTTAACACCAGAGCTGTTATGTTTGTCCTGTTGTTCTCATTTAGGACTTGTCTACACAGGGAAATTGACTTGACCTAGTTTTCCAGAATAACTATTCCGGTGTCACAGTTCTGGAATAACTTCACAATGTGGACACTGATCCAAAATAAAAGTGACTTTATTCCAGAATAGAGTATCCACACGGGGGAGTTATTCGGGAATAGCTAAATTATACCAAACAAGATATTCTGTAATAGTCATTCTGGAATAGTTATACTAATCAATTTTCCCTATGTAGAGAAGGTCTCAAGTATTTTTAAGCATTAAACTGTTCAGTAAGCTACAGGTGTCTATAATGGGCAGTAACTATGTGTGTGTTTTCCAAATAAGTAGAATAAATAACAGAATTATTTCACATCATTGGTTTCATCTTTTTCTGTTTTGTTTTTATGCATCAGAGGGGTAGCCGTGTTAGTCTGAATCTGTAAAAAGCAACAGAGGGTCCTGTGGCACCTTTAAGACTAACAGAAGGATTGGGAGCATAAGCTTTCGTGGGTAAGAACCTCACTTCTTCAGATGCAAGTAATAGAATTTTCCAGAGGCAGGTATAAATCAGTATGGAGATAACGAGGTTAGTTCAATCACGGAGGGTGAGGTGCTCTGCTAGCAGTAGAGGACTGTAAGCTGTCTAAAATCCTACCTGCCACATGGGGCCACAACAGGGGTACCCCTAACTCACCCAGCAATATCGTCAACTTATCCAGCTACACACTCAACCCAGCAGAAGAGTCTGTCCTATCTCAGGGACCCTCTCTTTGCCCCAGCACCCCCACGAACATGATACAGTTCTGCGGTGATCTGGAAACCTACTTTCGCCGCCTCCGACTCAAAGAATACTTTCAAGATAACACTGAACAGCGCACTGATACACAGATACCCTCCCACCAGCAACACAGGAAGAAGAACTCCACATGGGCTCCTCCTGAGGGTCGAAATGACAGTCTGGACCTATACATAGAATGCTTCCGCCGACGTGCACAGGCAGAAATTGTGGAAAAACAATATCGCTTGCCTCATAACCTAAGTCGTGCAGAACGCAATGCCATCCACAGCCTCAGAAACCACCCTGACATTATCATCAAAGAGGCTGATAAAGGAGGTACTGTTGTCATCATGAACAGGTCTGACTACCAGAAGGAGGCTGCCAGAGAACTCTCCAATACCAAATTCTACAGGCCACTTTCCTCAGATCCCACTGAGGAATACACTAGGAAACTGCACCATCTACTCAGGACACTCCCTACACTAACACAGGAACAAATCAACATTCCCTTAGAGCCTCAACTGGGGTTATTCTATCTACTACCCAAGATCCACAAACCTGGAAATCCTGGACGCCCCATCATCTCGGGCATTGGCACTCACACTGAAGGACTGTCTGGATATGTGGACTCCCTATTCAGACTGTACGCCACCAGCACTCCCAGCTATCTCCGTGACACCACTGATTTCCTGAGAAAACTACAATGCATTGGTGACCTCCCAGAAAACACCATCCTAGCCACCATGGATGTAGAGGCTCTCTACGCAAACATCCCACACGCAGATGGAATACAAGCTGTCAGGAACAGTATCCTTGATGATGACACAGCACAGCTTGTTGCTGAGCTCTGTGACTTTATCCTCATGCACAATTATTACAAATTTGGTGACAGTATATACCTCCAGACCAGTGGCACCGCTATGGGCACCCGCATGGCCCCACAATATGCCAACATTTTTATGGCTGGAACAACGCTTCCTCAGCTCTCGTCCACCTATGCTACATTGATGACATCTTCATCATCTGGACCCATGGGAAGGAGACCCTGGAAGAATTCCACCATGATTTCAACAGCTTTCACCCCACCAGCCTGGACCAATCTACACGGGAGGTCCACTTCCTAGACACCACAGTACAAATAAGCAATGGCCACGTTAACACCACCCTATACCAAAAACCCACTGACCGCTACGCCTACCTTCATGCCTCCAGCTTCCACCCGGGACACACCACACGATCCATCGTCTACAGCCAAGCGCTGAGGTACAACCGCATCTGCTCCAACCCCTTAGACAGAGACCAACACCTACAAGATCTTCACCAAACATTCTCAAAACTAGGATACCCACACAAGGAAATAGAGAAACAAATCAACAGAGCCAGACGTGTTCCCAGAAGCCTCCTGCTACAAGACAGGCCCAAAAAAGAAACCAACAGAACTCCACTGGCCATCACCTACAGTCCTCCGCTTAAACCACTCCAACGCATCAGTAGTGATCTACAACCCATCCTGGACAATGATCCCTCACTTTCACAGACCTTGGGAGGCAGGCCAGTCCTTGCCCACAGACAACCTGCCAACCTTAAGCATATTCTCACCAGCAACCACGCACCGCACCATAACAACTCTAACTCAGGAACCAACCCATGCAACAAACCTCGATGCCAACTCTGCCCACATATCTACACCAGCAACACCATCACGGGACCTACCCGGATCAGCTACAACATCGCCGCCTCATGCGCCTGCGCGTCCACCAATGTTATATAT